GAGGCAGGAAGGTTGCTGAGTTTGAGGTTAGTCTGGACTATACAAGGAGTTCAAGGCCAGCCTAAACTGCATAGGGAGACCCTACCTAAAAAAAAGTGAACCTGAGCTGCCCCAATTAATTGGAGGCTACTCTTCTTGCAGCTTACCTGGAGCTGGGAGGCAACTGAAATTTCCTATTCTCCTTTACCATTTTCAGACTTTTTATTTGTGTCATTTTAAGCTCCTTCTTTGCAACATACTTGCTGTTTCACCTGCACTAGCTGGCTTTTCCTGTACATCCATCAGATAGACACCATCACACTGAGGTTTTGCCACCCTTCGTTGCAGCGGTTATCACCTTTACTCTGCACCAGCCATGGTCATGTCAGTCCCCTTCATCCTCCTCATCCTCTCCCCACCCTGAGTACAGACAGTGCCAGCGTGCACTCTAAGCAGACTGATGCTTTCAGTCTTCTCTAAGGCTCCACAGGTAGTCGAAGAACTTTGCTGTCAGAATTACTCTGGTGACTATTTCAGTACCTTGTGGATTTTTGTTTTCCTGTTTGGAAAGTTCTGGTCACTGAATCTTCTTAGAGAAAGTCTTACAACTGTACCAGCATGCTGTTACGAAACTGTACTCTCCAACGTTAGATCCTGTCTTGGATTTTTAAATTGTTCCATTTATGACTAGCTGAGTAATATGCTTTTCTTCGAGAATTCTTTTAGACATTCTGTGTCAAGTCCCTGTCCTCTACTTTTCCTGTTTTCAGTCATTTCTGTGGGATTTGTGTGCTTGGGGACAGACCAACTCTGTCCTTACAGAAGTTATAGTTGTGCAAAGTGTAACGCTACTGAAGCACCAGCTTCAAATTCTTGTATCAGGTCCCTGCCTTCTACCTTGAAAATAATCCACTCTTTAGGTCAGTAAGAGGTTAGACTGTCTCACTGATCTTTAGTCATCTCCTTACCTGTCTTACAGTCTATAAATTCTTTCCTCTTTTGACTCTGCTTCCACCTCTAGCTGCCTCTCTTCCTTCTGCCTAGTGTTTTTTTTTTTTTTTTTTTTCCAGTACCGGGGAATGAACTCAGGACCCTGCGCTTCCCAGGCAAGCGCTTATTCTACTGAGCTATCTCCCTGGGCCTTGCCTAGTGTTTTTGAATTCAGCCCCGTGCAGTTTCACTCTTTATCCTTTCAAGGTGACCAATGCGAAAGCCAATGGATACTTTTCAATCCTTTTCTTAGTTTATTTTCTACCTTGAAATTGTTCCTGTGGCTTTCTTGAAATCCTCTTTTACCTTTTGCTTTCTTATGAATCTCTGTTGCCCACCCTTAAACTTAATCCTTAGGTTGATTTTTGGTCAGCACCCTGCCCCCATCTTTGCTGATTAGTCCTATACATTCATGGTTTTGACTGCTGCCCAGATGAGCTCTAGAATTTCTCTTAAATATCATATTTCTATCCCAGCTCTGTCTTACACTTTGGATTTCATAGCCATCTCAAGAAGAGTCTTGTTTAAAGCAGTTATAATTTTTTTTTAATCTTAAAAAAAAAAGTTTTATACTCTATAGCATAAAACTTCTTATGGATTTTTAATAGATTAAAAAATTTCTAATTATGAAAGGCAAAGGGCTGGCCAGATTGCTCAGTGGACTAAAGTGCCTGCGTAAGCAGAGCGCAGCAGCTGGGGTTCAATCCCTGGCATGCAGTGCCCAGCCGGCCCCACCCCTGGGGTGCACTGAGACAGCTATTGAGACTGTGCGTGGTGGCATGCACCTGTAGTCCCAGCACATGGGAGGCTGAAAAACAGGATCACTATGAGTCTGATCTATGTAGTGAGACCCTGTACTAAATACATTTAAAAAAAGGGGGGGGGGCAAGCCTTTATAGTGCTGAGAAGCTAGCTGTTTTTGCATATTAGAAAAGGGAGATCTTTTTCAAATGGAAGGCTGGGACTAAAAGATGGAAAGAGGGGGGGAGGGGGAGGGAATGAACAAAGAATGCATGTGTTATGGTGTATGTGTGCCAACTTCTCATGATAAATGTAATCATCATGCGCGGCAAATGTGCTATAAGAAAGTAAACCATAGCCAGGTGTGGCAGTGCATACCTGTCACTCCAGCACTTGGGAGGCTGAGGTAGGAAGATCACAAGTTTGAGGCCAGCCTGAGTTAACGTATGCACAACTGTCTTGAAAAACAACAAAAAAAAATAAGGCTTTGAAATTTGAATTGTGATTTTTCAAGCTACTTTTTGGAGCTTTAACAACTGAACTATAAAAACTCAGATTACCCGAGACAGCTTGTGTGGATCATTCATCCATGAGCGCATGCCTGAAGTTACTTAGGGTAGCAGAATGTGACCAGAAATGCTCTGTGAATCGTGGCTCAGCAAGCAGTCTTCTTACGCACAGCTCAAATCTGCTGTTACTTTTTGCCACAGATCTTGGGTTTTATTATTAGCATATAAGTAGTTTTATACTGTATAAACTACTGAGACTTAAATCTCCAATAATTTCACTTTTTTGTTTTGAAAAGATCAAAGCCATCGGCCAGACAGAATTGAACGCAAGCAACCCAGAGGAAGTGTTACAACTGGCAGCACAGAGAAGGAAGAAAAAATTTCTTCAAGCAATGGCAAAACTTTACTTTTAAGCAGTTAAAAATGTTTAGCTTTTATTTTTAAACAATGAACTAAACATAGTATTAAAAGACTGTTTATATAATACATATATACACATTTAGTGGTGTTTTCTTTTCAGACAAAATACCGAAACAATTTAAAAACAACTATATAGAAGACTTAATACCATAACAATACCATAATAATAGCTTTAATTTACAGTTTCTTCAAAGGTAGAAGAGTTTCACATGTCTGGTCACTAGCAGTCTGATATAATTTTCTACTTAAATCTACTTTAAAATATTTATGTAGAAGTAACTAGTGTATGTACAGCAAATTCTATGTCAAGTTTTCTTTTAATAAATAGATTTCTAGGCGTCAGTATAGATTTCATATTTTTCTGCCTTAAGAAAATAGAAATTTAGGTCAAATGTTAAACTTTCACTTTTGACACTGTCCGCATCTCATAATGTAGAAATTTAAAATGGACTTTTAACAATTTTGGAAACATAAATAAAGCCTTAGTAATGCTAAATTTAAAAAACATCCACAGGGATATCTTAAGTGTAATAAAGTGACTTTCTCATATAAATAGTTTGAAAAGGTACTTAAGTTTTTCACCCGAATTGTGATATACAAAAAAGGTTATGACAGAACAACCTAGCTCTAATAACGCCCCGAGTAGGAGCCACAGCATTTATCTTGGTATAATTTCTTTGGTACCTCCACTGTTTAGAGCAGTTTAACATCATGTTTGTTGATGCCTTACTGATTAAAAATACGGTAAGTCAAACTAGCTAAAAACTAATTTTACCATTTTTAAAAATTCAAGTTTTACAATAGCTTCCTACGACAGCTTTAGATAAGTTAGTCACCTTATTACAAAACTACATCTTTGTAAACAGATTTAAATTTCATTTTCAAAAACCAAATTGCACTAGTCAAGAGTATAGGAATTTTAAGAATCTAAAAGCTAGATTCAAAGTTGTACTCTTTAAGGTAGCACTTACCTAGTCCAAAAAGGTCAATGATGAAAGTCCTATTTATCAAGACAAGTACAGTAACGCTGCATCCAGAAAAACCCAAATTGCCATGGCATAAATCATGGTTGGCTTCTGTCCAGTAACCCTGGAAACGAAGTCATCTTTGTAAACATGTCCTGCTGCTTCTTTAACAGCTAATACAGGAAGTACATTTCTTCTTTAGTGCCAATCTTAAGTGTTTTTTAAGTCAAAGAATGGCAATGTAATGTCTGAATTGGCAATAATAATCAAAGGTGTTTTGTTAAAAACTTTAGTAGATTCAAGCTAATATTGTTCAATTCCAACTTGTTTGCTTAATTGACATCTTTAGCGTTTTCCTGGTGGCTTTTCTGTGCTCTTCGGTGGTGTCATAATGCCTCCATTGCAAACTGGTGACAGCTGTCCCCCTTTTCTAAAGGTGTCTACATAACTGACTTCATCCTACACATGTGAAGAAATCGTGCAGCAATTAATGGTTGACATACTAACATTGATCTTGAGATAATTCACAAATTTTGATTTCAAAATCATTTTTTTCTCTCCAGTCTGTAAACTATGCCCATTATTTCCCCCTTTTATAAGCCAACCCATGTAGGAGGTGGTATTTCATAATGTATCTTTTCTATCCATTTTAGGGCTTTTCTAGAGAGCAAAATGAAACAAAACTCAAACATACCAGCATGGCCAAATAATTTGTATGTGTCTGGATGTTATGTCTGTCTTCCATAGGTACCTTTTTGAAAGTCTTCAGCTTCACTGGATTAGTGCTTTTTACTACACTGACGAAAGGTACCATCCAGTCTACACATTCTGAAATGTTGTCCCATTCCAAACCTACATTTAAAAAGTTGAAAAAAAAACCTGAAGACTCCATCAAAAACTCTTACATCTGCCTAATCTTATATATGTACTTCCTTCTGCTTCTAAATGTTAAGACACTTAAAGACTCATTTAAAAAAAAAAAACCCAAACAAAATCAAATGTAGCAGATCAAAACATCATCATTCTGAAACTGTTACAGCATGACTACATTAATAGGTGAAAGGACTTAACCTCTGAACCAGAATCTTCTACATACAAATTGAAATTGTCAGATTCTAAAGAACTCTTAAAGGGGCTCTATAACTGCTGATTCTTGTCAAATGGACACAAGCTCCATTTTGGCCTTATTTTCTAACAAAAAGAATCAGAAGACTGCTAAATTTAAATGATGTTTGGCAGTATGTTAAGATTCATAGGTTACATTTCCATTAGCAGTTGTGAGAAGGAGACAAAACGTTAGGTCTTACCTGAAGCTTTCTTAACCACTTCAATAGAGGTGAAATGGCACAAGGCAGCTGCAGCTAGTATTCTGTACTGAAACTCTAATGAGTCCACGGCTAGAATACAGAGATCTAAAAGCTAGCAGAAGAAAAGCAACAACGCATGAGAAAGTTGAGTATTTTATGTTTAACTAAAATCAGCTAATATATTAGGGAGTTTATTATGTACACCAGAAATTCTGAAACTCAAAGGATTCAAAAATTAATTATTGGGGCTGGGGAGATAGCTCAGTGGTCTAAGTGCCTGCCTGGCAAGCACAAGGACCCAGGCTGGATCCTCAGTACTACATGACATGCCAGCCACAGAAATGGGGCGTGGTGGTACATGCCTGAAATCCCAGAGCTGGGGAGGCTGAGACAGGAGGATCACTAGTTCAAGCTGCATAGTGAGACCTTGTACCAAATAAATAAATAAACAAAAGATGGTAAAAATAACAAAAAGTTATCAAAGGAAACCAAGTCTTGGGACTGCAGATAAAGAGTGACTAGACAAAGAATTATGGCAATGTGGAGTCATGTGTACTAGCAGGAAGGGCTAAATCTAGACTGGAAAAGACGGGACTTCTCGTCTCACATAATCATACAAGGCGGGAAGACAGAGGTAAAGAATGTTTCTAAACAAGAAAATTACTTGCAATGCCAGCAGTCAGAACACTGGCAGTGAAAATTACATAAGTACCTTGCAGAGTTTGAGACAGGGTCTTGGTATGTAGTTCAGTTTGGCCTTGAACTCACTATGTAGTTTAGGGCTGGCCTTGAACTCCAGGTGATCCTCCTGCCTCAGCCTCCTCAATGCTAAGATTACAGGTGTGCACCACCTTGCCCTGCTCTCTCCTTCATTCAATTCTTAACCCCCCCCAAAAAAATAAGGTAGCTAGAAAGCAACAGATAAGGTTATAAAGGGCCTTTAGGAAGTGAGAATTTATTTATTTATTTATTTATTTATTTATTTATTTATTTATTTATTTTTGTGGTACTGGGAATTGAACTCAGGACCCACACTTGCCAGGCAAGCACTTATTCTACTGAGCTATCTCCTGGCCCTAAAAGAAAGATCTTTAGTTTCTCTAGGGTTTTTTTTTTTTTTTTTTGCAGAAATGGGGATTGAACTCAGGCCCTGAGCTATCTCACTGCTCCGGCAAGCATTTATTCTACTGAGCTATCTTCCCCAGCCTAAATTTTTTTATTTTTGCAGTATTGGGGATTGAACTCAGGACCCTGTGCTTGCCAGGCAAGCACTTATTCTATGAGCTATCTCCCCAGCCCCAAGAACATTATTTTCTAAGTTGATTATTGAAACTCCCAAAGATTTTGAGTTAGGAAAGTTAACATTTCAAGAAAAACACCTTAGACTGCAATGGCTCTGGCAGGCTAGAATGGAGCATGGTCCTCAGCAATGACAGTGGCTAACTGGTATAGACAAGAGAACCGCAAGCAGCAGTGGGGTGGTGCAAGAGGGCTACAATTCAGAGGTCTGAACTGATGCCTGTCCAATGGAACAAAACACTTGCCTCACTGCTCCAGAGGGTAATTAACAGGAAAGGAAAAGTAAAATAATGTTATCAAATGCTGGGTTTTGCTTATAAGAAATGGTTGGGGCTAGAAGTATTTGGGATCTTCGATATTGTATGATATTGTATCTACTTATCCATGAGATTTCTTGGGGATGGGATGAAACTATTTATGTCTGGAGTATTTGCATATAAGATTTCCTGGGGAGAAGGTGGAAATGTAAACACTGCCTGACTTGTATACAGTATCTTCTGTGTGCCTGCTTTGACTGCACTGTCAAGTAGGGAAGCTTTTACTCGGTGTCAGCTTGGCATTCAAAAATTCCCCAAGTTTGGAGCATTTCAGTTTTTGATTAAGGTTGTTCAATTTGTACTATACTTCTAAAAACTTCCCACATCATTAGTTTACTTCCCACCCTCATCAAATGGGTATAGTTGCCTATAAAAATCTTGAGATGCTGGGAATTCTGACGAAAAAAATAGTAAGCCTTTCTTAGAAACTTCTATACAATGAGGCATTTCCAACATTTACTGGTTGTCCAATTTTAGCATTCATAAAAATACATTTTAAGGGCTGGGGAGATGGCTCAGTAGAATAAGCACTTCCCTGGCAAGTGCAAGGGTCTGAGTTCAATCCCCAGTTCCAGCAAAAAAAAAAAAAGTTTTTAAGATTTAAAACACAAATTTTAGGGGCTGGAGAGATGGCTCAGTGGTCTAAGGCACCTACTTAGAACAAGCTTGGCAAAGCATCAGGGACCGCGGTTCAATCCCCCAGCACCACATGCCAGCCAGCCCCGCCCCCTGGTGGGCTGAGCTGGCCACACACACCTCTCTCTCTCTCTCTCTCTCTCTCTCTCTCTCTCTCTCTCTCTCTCTCATAAATAAAAATAAAAAAAAATAAATAAATAAAACACAAATTTTAACCTTCATTCCAAAATGCCATAATCCTTCCATTCGATAGGTAATATGTTGGATATCTTCTATATTATAGTTTCTTCTTTTTTGTACATGGTAAATATTGCAGCCTTAAGATACTACTTATAAGACCTGGCATTGGCATACCCAAGAGGGCTGAGGCAGGAGGATCACCAGAAGGCCAGTTGGTAACTCTGGTTCACCTAAAACTGGGCAATTTAGAGGCTGTTTCAAAATTTAAATAACACGGCTGGGGATGTATCTTATTGCTCCCTTGGTTCAATCCCCAGTAATGGAAAAAAAAAAAATTACTTATAAGCAGTAGGCAACAGAATGGGATCCTTGTCCTCTACTCTGTTAGAACATTTATTACATACTGGCTTAGGAAAATTAAATTTGACTTTTGTTTTTCACACCTATTATATAAAGATGATTTAAGGAACCGGGTGTGGTGGTGCACCCCTGTAATCCCAGCACTTGGGAGGTTGAGACAGGATTGCTGTGAGTTTGAGACCAGTTTGGGGGCTACAAAAGTACAAGGCCAGCCCGAACTGCATAGCTAGACCCTGTTTCAAAAAAAAAAAAAGGCTGGCAAGATAGCTCAGCGGACTAAGCACTTGCTTAGGTAAGTGCAGGGGCCAGGGTTCAATCCCTGGCACCACATGCTGTGCCAGCCTCACCCCTGGGAATGCTGAGCTGGGATAGAGTCTGGGCGTGGTGGCTCATGCCTGTAATCCCAGCACTAGGGAGGCTGAAAACAGGAGGATCACGAGTCCAAGCTACATAGTGAGACAGTGTACAAAAAAAAGTGATTTAAATTCTATTGACAGGTAACAAATAGGCATCCTTTGTATTCAAGTATAAAAAGAATAAGAATGGTACAATAACACCATTTTAAAGTTGCCTAAATACTTTTGACTAAAAAGATTTGTTTGTATTGGGGATCAAACTAAGGGCCTTGCACTTGCTAGGCAGGCACTCACACTGCTGAACTATCTCCCTGGCCCTAATTTTTCCATTTCATAGCAAAAAGATATTTAGTTATTTTGGACTTCTTATGAATGACAGTACTCATAGACATTTAGGGGCTTTGTTTTCTATAATTACTAGGCAGTATCAATACTGGAGACAAAATTTTATGTCTCAAAAGTTTTGTTGCTCAATTAGGAGTAAGTAGCCTGAATTGACAATGACATTAACATATCTTCAGAACCCCATCAATACCTGGGCAATATGGATGAAGGTCTCCTGAGAATACTGAGGTAGAAGAACTTTAGGAGCATCCTTAAGAGCATCAACTTGGAGAAAGAGATGTAACCAGGAGATGACTGTGACAGGACAAAGCTCCCACTTTAAAGCCTGTGCATGAAATTTAAAATTACTCGTTAACACCCTTATTCATAGCAGCACAATTCATAAGAGCTAAACCCTGGAAACAACCCAGATGCCATAGAGCACTCACTACTTTGCCATAACGGATGATAAACTGGAGGCATTTTTAAGTAAATGGATGCCCCTTGAGGCCATAATCTTAAGGGAAATAAATCAGGCAAACAGCTTACATATCATATGGCTTCACTGTGCCAGAAGCCTAAAGTGTAAGGAGCAAAATGGGGGATAGATACTGGAAGGGAGGAAAAATTTGTTCAAAAGGGAATGGGAACAAGAAATGGAGGTGAGAGAAGGGAGGGGAAAAGGGGTTTTTAAAAAACGAGAATAGGATGTTTATAGGTGAGGGGAAGGTTTGGAGGGAGGGGATGGGGTCAAAATAAAGTATGTATTATGTACATGTACACATCACCCATAATGAATATCATGTACTGCAAACATGTACTTGTGAAAAACATTAAAAAACTGTGATTATGGGAAAGTAGATTGTGAATGTACACACATATAACACTTTAAATAGTTTACAGGTTAAAAAAAGTTTCCTCCCAGCCATAGCTACTGTCAGTATTTTCATGCATTAACTCCTTAGACCTGGACGCTAACAACGGAAACCTCAGTTCTGATCACTGACATTTTGGCACTGGCGATTACTTCATGACTACTGCATTTCTAAGCTGCAAGTACAAATAAAGACATAGTATTACCTTTAGTATAATGAGTTCCATCCTTACAATATCCTCCTCACTGCAAGCACCATCAGTGACATAAGCAAACTCTTGGAGTTTGGGAGCATAGATTTCCTTTAAATTGAATTTTTATTAACCATAATTGAAATTAAAGCAAAAGAATTACATACAAACTATACACAACTTTAGGTAAAATAATTACACTACATATCTAAAACAACCTTTATATTTAAGATATTTTTCCTAGGCTTCTAAATTATCTACTATTGGCTATGAAGACTTATTTTCCTAGAACTTTGAATTTTAGTTCATAAACAATTAGACTATCTTAACTAGTTGAGTTAAAAAAAAACAGCTTGCTGGGTGTGGTGGCACACACCTGTAATCCCAGCACTTGGGAGGTTGAGGCAGGTAGATCACTGAGAGTTTGAGACCTGCGTGGGTAGGCTACACAGTGAGTTCAAAGCCAGTATAAACTACATAGTGAGACTCTGACTCAAAAAAAAAAAGCCAAGTTGTTTTAAGACTGCCTAGTATGTTGGTCAGTCCAAAACACTTAACAAGTAAAATATAAAAACTAAAAATGTTTCCTTTACCTAAGTACAAATATAGTATAAATCTACAGTTAACCAAAAACACTGGGCAGCTCAGTAGTAGAGAGCTTGCCTGGCCCTGGGGTCAATCCCAGCCCTACAAAAAACAAAAGTAAAAACAATAAAAAGATATTTTATGTGGCTCACACCTGTAAGCTCAGCACTCTGGGAGGCTGAAGTATAACTGTACACTGGAGCCTAGTCTGGGCAGCAAAACTGTCTCAAAAAAAATTTTTTTTTAAAGATAGGGGATATAGCTCAGTGGGCAAAGTCCAGGATTCAATCCCCAATACTGAGGAAAACATAACATAAAACTGTGCATTGTGATGACAGATCTGTTTAGGCAATCTAGAGAAAACCTGGAATGATCAAGAGATTTAAGAGAGGCCTCCTCCATATGAGAAGAAGCTAAATATCAGAATTGAAGTCTGGAAAGGGATCCAAAACAGTATGCTTTAAAAAAAAACCCAAAAAAACAAAACAGTACATCTCAGCTAAGGACAGGCCAAACTTGGCAATGCTCTTAAAGTTCAAAGGACATATTAGGAAGGAAAATTTCAGGAAGTTAACATACGGTCATAATTCCTCTCCTGCCTTCAAAATGTCAGCTGTAAAAAGTACTGATGCTGTCAATACTGTGTTGCTTAACAAAAGTAGATTGTGATTATGGGAAGGAAAGTTTCAAGAAAAGAGATGCTTTCTAGCATGACACCAACATTACTTACAAAAACATTAGACTGATTAGACAATTATTCTAGCTCAACATGGCACTTCTTTCATTTAATTGGCTGTGCAGCTATCTTTCCTTTTTTTTGGTACCAAGAATCGAACTCAGGACTTTGCACTGGCCAGGCAGGCAAGCGCCTGTACACTGAGCTATATCTGCAGCCCTGGCTGTGTAGTTTCAAAAGCCATTGTGGTGAATCCAAATGCCACAGTCACGTATATAAAGACAGTGTTGAGATACGTTTTGTTTGGTGTAATGAATGAAGGATCCTTTCTTATATACTAATCCTAGTATCTAAACTAGGGACACATAATAGGCTCAAACCACAATAGTTTTTTCTTCTATCTGTATCAGAATGTTCAGAAAATGTACTGACAAAAGCATTCACCTAAGGAATTTCTATCAAAATTGACAGTACTCTCTGGGGTTAATCTGCCAGTCAAAAACAACAACAAAAGAAAACAAGTTTGGTGACAATATGCATGGACTTTGATAACTTACCTCAAGTTTCGAAGCAATGAATAGTGAGGTAATTCCAATAAGTTGAAGCATGTTTTTATTTATGTTCCTTTGTGTCAACATAAATCTATCAAAAAAGTCTTGTGCAAGATAAAATGTTTCCCTATGAAGTGTGTATACTTCACATACCTACAGAAGAATCCAAACATTTAAGTATTACTCTTAGAATTTCTCCAAATTAGAAAGTCATCCCTTAGCATGCTAGACTTGAGTACTTTTAAACCAAACCTAAAACTTTTAATACTTTTAAGCCATACCAAAGCTAAAATAGGATACAAAACATGTAGTACTAGAGCAAATAAATTACTACCATCCTCATTTATCCTTAATCTTAGCTGTATAGCTTATCCATGGTTTTGTCTCACAAGGGAGTGAACAGTGGGTACTGCATGTTACGCCAGTGCTCCAGTGAGCTATGTCCCCACCTGCTTCTGCCCTTTTGATTTTTCTTTAATCCAGAGTCTTACTATGTAGGTCAGGCTGTCCTCAAACTTATGGTGATCTTCCTGCCTCAGTCTCACAAGTGCTGGGATTACAGGTATGTGCTACCACGCCTGGTTTATAACATTACTTTAGAAAAGAACAGAAGGACCTTTCAGAGGCTCAGCAGTGCCTGGCAAGTGCAAGGTCTTGAGTTCAATTCCTGATATCCCCACCCCCAGAAAAAAAAAAAAAAAGTATATTATAGAGGGAAGCTACACAGAAACTGGAGAGGTTAGGGCTTCTGGATAATCAAAGTCCCATTATGGTTTAGAGCTCAGAAATAAAAGTCCCCTAATAACTTAATTTTGGTAATATAGAAAAAAGACATCTGAGGATACTGAAGCCTAATCCTGGCTCATTGCACAGCAGTATTTAAAATCTGGTCAATTAGGCATTCCACCCATCTGGAGTACCCTCCCTACCCAGATCAGTGTGAGTACATAGTAATATCCACACATACCAAGAATTCTGACTTGGGTTTGGGCTGTGTGCAGTGGTTGTGCCCTTACAATTTTAGTGTGTTGTGTTGTGCTGCTGATTGAGCCCCGGCACTCATGCCTGCTGCTTGCACACTTCAACCATACATCACTCTGCCGCTGAGCTACACCTCCAGCCCCTGATTTTACTCTTACAAAGTTGGCAGCTGTCTTACTTTGGGTGCCACTAACTACTGTTAAATACCCCTAGAAAGATGACCTGCTGGCAATAAGTAATATACCCTGAAGGCACAGAAAGTATGTTTACCTCTAAATATTTTTCCATCATACAGAGATAAAGGAATGCTGGAACATACCTCTAAAAGCCAGTCTAGAAGTATTGATCTCATCTGTGGCTCTAGGTCACAGTGCAGAACTTCGAAATTCTTGTCATGAACATACGTGCTTTCTTTTTTTAACATGTTTAGCCAAACTTCCTGGGAACATCCCCAGCTATGGAAAGAGGTAAAAATAAGCACAATTTATACTGTATGATCTACACAACACACAAGCAATCGGTTTACATAGCATAAATCCAACTCTTAAAACATTACAATCCAACTTTCAATTAGAATTTGAAAATGTAGCTTTGTGTGTGTGCGAGTACATGCATGCACGTCTGAGTGTGTATGTGTGTGTGTGCAGGATCTCACCACACAGCTTGGACTCGTAGTGATCCTGCTGATTTCTGCCTCCCTAGTGCTGGAATTACAGACATGCACCACCACGCCTGGACTCCATCCCTGGATTAGTGTGCGGGGGGGGGGGGGAGCACGGCATGGAAAATGCATTTTTTAAATTAGAATAAGATTTTTCCTTTAAGTTCTAGAAACCATTTTTTCTGCATGCAGAAGTAGAAGCCTAAAGTAATATAGTAACCTGGAACGTGATCTCAACTGGCAGACTTCAAAAGACTGCTCTTATCCCACTTATTTATGCTAATTTAGGTAAAGTATTTAAACGCCACCTAAAAAGTAACTCAGGCCCAGCTTTCAGAAGGCTGAAACAGGAGGACTGCTGTGATTGACAAGCCAGCCTGGATTATGGGAGACTGTCCTTATAAATGAATAAACAGGGCTGAGGATGTGGCTCAGTGGTGGGGTTCTTGCCTTGCATGCACAAGGCCCTGGGTTCAGTCCTCACCATCAGAAAAACAAAACACAGGGCTAGAAAGATAGCTAAGTGGCACAACACCCGCCTTGTATGAGGTCCTGAGCTCAATTCCTGGTACCAACAAAACAAACACAAAAATGTATGGTAATTGTGTCAAGTGATACATATGGTGGTGTTCTGATGTGAACATTAGCATTATATCCCTATATTAAATGCCACACTGTACTCCATAAACGTCTACTTTGTGTCAATTAAAAATAAACACAGTTAAAAAAAACAACCAGTTCGGGGCCAGGGAGATAGCTCAGTAGAATAAGTACTTGCCTGGCAAGTGCAAGGGCCTGAGTTCAATCCCTGGTTCCAAAACAAAAAAAAAAAAAACAACCATTTCTGCTAAGTTTAATAATGAAAATAATTTTACAGCACCAATATTTTAAGTACTCCTTTATGTGCAATAGAACTATTCCTAGATAAAATGTTCAATTAGTAGTAAATAATACAACTTTTGTATTTTATAATACAGGCAAAAAGTAACACATGGCACTATTTTCCGTTAAATCAGCAAAATTTTACCCTCTGATATAAAAGTACTGAAATATTTCTTACCTTAAATCTGGCAAAGGTGAAGGATTAATAAAAAGATTTTTAAATCTATAGTTTGTAAATCTAGAGAAGTCACTTGTTCCTATCTCTTTGTGGGGTGTTTCAATGAGAATGCAAGGACTGACTCCCCCAGATAATACAGGTGGCCAACAGTTCTGTCATTTAAAAAGACAAAGAATTATCTATTTGTACAATAAGAAACATTAGCTTTTGTCCTGGATCTTTCATAAATTAAAGCTAGTATTTCTAAACAATCTAGTTCTAGCTAATATAGTTAACCATCTGATTAATACATTTATATTTTATAAACAAGTCATATGACTCATATCAATCTTTATAAAATAACAGGATATTTTAGACAATACAATTCTAGTAATACAAGACACTAGGTACTTAAGCGAAGTAATAAAATACATCTGTAATATAAAATATCAATCACTTTCAGGGTAAAAAAAATTCTACAGGGGCAACAAAGGTACTTTTTTAAATAAAAAGCTTTTTAAGGTAAGCCCTTCTTCACTACTTTAGAACACTTGAAGGCAAAATCTTAAAAGTGGAATCACTTAAAGGATCTTTCTTCCAATAATGCTGGTTTCAAAGGGAACCACTGTGTTTTCTGTACAACATATAAGGAAGAAGAGGTAGCAAAGGGCTGGAAGCCAGGCTATCAGCGATCTCACATCGTGTTTATGCCAAAGAAGCAGCTATTAGGCCGTTCTACTATAGTGTGAGAGGGAACAAAGAGCAGAATATCAGACAGATTAGGCGGGCCCTGGTGCACCAGGCAGCTCCAAGAGGGTGGGATTTACAAAAAGGAACCAGCTGCCTCGAGGCAAACTTACTCTGCAGCTGTAGTAGGATTCAGGCATATATCAACCTCCTTTCTGCTGACCTCCAAGAGTATTAAAAGTGACAGAGAAATCTTTCTATTGTAAAGCATTATTCTTATTCATCCTCTATGCATTTGTTTTCCCCAAACCACCAGCAGTTCTGCATTACCCTGATCTCATATTGATGTTTCCTGGTGACCTTCTCTTCTCTTCTGTTTTTGACATCCTGCAAAATAATAAAGACCACTGGTAAATTAAGTTCCAGGGAAGACTCTCCATTCCCTTTCTTTGTCCTTACATCACCTGTGCTGTTTTTCTCTTCTTGACTTGGATTATCTGGGCTTCTTGGGGGGAATCTGGCTGGCTGGGCTGGGCATGCTGCTTAGCTTGTAAACGGGTGCTGTACAGAATTATTAAAAAGGAAGTTTAATTAGTAAGTCATGCATTTCAAAGGCAGCGTCTAATTTTGAAACACTTCTCCAAGACAAACAATGTTACCTTCGTCTTGACATTCTCTTCTTTCAGGTGTATGAAACCTCTGAAGAGCGGGAGAAGAAAAGGCAGAGTTAAGTACTGTACATTTATATCCCTATTCTCCAAGTGTCAATCAAAGTTGATCAGAAGTTACAGCTAAATCCCCCAAAGGTGGTCCGGGGTATTTTACCACACTGTCTTTTGCACTCCTGTAGTTATCTCATGGTAATTAATTTTGGACACACGCCTGCATTTTCTCGACTGAATGCACAGCCTGGACGCAAGTGCTTTCAAACGTGTACCCTGAACACACAGGGCGGCCGGTCTGCCCGACTGGCTCTTTCCGGGCCCTCCACCGACTCCCCCACACCCGCAGTGGGACTGCGGCAGCGCCCCCGGCGCCCTCAGCTCTCCTGCACGGTCGGCGGACAGAGGAGCCCGCGCGGGCGAAGCGCCGCGGAGAAGCCGGTTCCGCGCCAATTTGGAGAGCGGCAGTGGCGGGGAAACAGGGGGCGGAGGAACCGCGGCGGTGTCACGTCCTCCCGGCTCCTCTCCCTCCTTTCCAGACCCGTGCACCGCGCGCCACTTGCAGGGCCACCCAGATCCCCCAACCCCAGGTGAGGGGCGGAGGAGAGAACCGGGGGTCTGGGCAGGTCAGGAGCTTTGCTCCCAGAGAGGACCCGGACCCCCCTCCTCGCCTCCCCGAAGGGCTCCCCATACGGGAGTGGGCGGGACAAGCCCCCTAGAGCGAGGGGCTCCTCCGTGGCCGCCCACGAGGGGGGCTGCCCGCCAGCCCCGCCGCTCTCCTGTCCCCGGCCAGGGGTCCTGACAGGGACAGAACTCGAGGACCCATTCCCCCCAGGCGCCTAGGTCTCCGCCCTCCCAGTTTCTCTCTCAAGAATCCCGCCCGCGGGAAGGACAGGCTCGGCGGGGCTTTCTTTCCCCCCACAGCCTCCTAAGCCCAGCACTGCTCACCGCGAGACCCACTACAGCTCCGCTCAGCTGGCGCCGGCGCCAACCCAATATATAGGCCGGGCCGGGCCCGCCCGCACGCATGCGCCTCGGCTGACACCTCCGCGGGCGCGCTCGGCGCTCCCGCCCGCGCCCCGCCCTCCCGCCGAGCGCGCCTCGCCGCGAGGGTCCCCGAGGTGAGCCGGCCGGCGCTGGGGTTGCGCGGCTCCTCCGCGGTCGGCTCCCTGCGCTCGGTCCCCGCACCTCCCGCCAGCTCGCTCCTGTCGCCTCCGTGTAACGCCCGGTGTCGGGCTACGGTGCGGCCCTGGCGTCCGGTCCAGGGAGGCTACTGTGGGGCGAGGAAGGGCTAGTGAGGCGGCAGCGATCGGGTGCGCCCCGAGTCCCGCCAAGGCGAGGGGAAGCGGGTTTCGCCCAAGCGGCGCGGCGAGCCGCCGGGCCCGCCCCCGCGGGAGGAGCGAGGCAGGGCCGCCCGGCCGGCCAATGGGAGGCGGGGACGCCGCGCAACGTGGAGCCGGCGCGATGTAAACACAGCCGGGCGGCGGCGAGCCGCGTGCGTCCGCGAGGGCCCCTGGTGAGGTACGTGCCCCCCGCGCCCAGCGCCCCGCACCCGGCTGTGCTTACATCAGCCCGCCGCCGCCTGCCTCCCGGCCGCAGCTCGCACACCGCAGGCCCCGCGCGGGAAACCCTGGCGCCGTCTGCGCGCGCCCGCTCTCCAGCTCAGGTGCCGGCCCCGAGGGCGAAAGCCCCTCGCAGCGAGTGCGCGGTCTCCCCCTTTTGGAGCCCCCGGGGCCGGGCGGTGGGCGGACAGCGGAGGCCGGGCCCAGGCCTGCGCCCCGCCCCGCCGTCTGCGCGCCCTGCGGAGCCCGCGCGGGAGGCAGCGCCAACCCCGTCGGCGAGGGAGAAGGCTGGCGGTCGCGCGGGCCCCGCGTGCGTTCCGTGCGCTTCGACGCTCCCTGTGCCCGGGGTCCCTGGCCCCCGCTCTCCGCCCGAGAGCGCTCTCGCACTTTTGGGGGTCGGGTATGCGGGTGGTACCGATTTTAGGGCGGGCGGGCGGGCGGGAGGGAGGCAGCTCCTGAGACAAAGATCCGGAGCGGGTGGCTGCGGACGGCCTCGCACCGCCGGCCCGGGAGCGTCCGGCCCTTCCCGAGATGCCTCGGGCCGCCGCGCGGGCTTTGAGCGGCGCCGCCCCGCAGGCCCGAGCCGGGAAGCGCCGGTGCTCCCTGGGCCAGCAGGGCCGGCTCACCTGCGCTTTCGCGGTCCAACAGTCTAGTGACAGAAGCGCAAAAATTGTTTCTTTTCCAAAGTTAAGCGTGGGATCCTTGCCCAGATGACATGGAAGAGGTCTACAGATCACTCCATGAAACTTTATGCAGATTACACATAATACTTGTGATGGCTCTTGTTAAGGCGGGAGTCTCCTCCCTTTGCTGCCACTCAAATCGCTATTGCAGTAATAGCAAGAAAAGGGTGGGGCAGGTGTCTCCCAGCAAGACTGTGTTAGCTGAGCTAAAGCAGGACTGGTGGCCTGCGTGAGTGAGCTTCTTCGTCATCAGAATACAAGAATGTCGTTAATGTTTGTGGGATTAGTTTTTGAGTCGTCCAGTAAATTGTGCTTACACAAGGCAGTGATATTGGGAATTACTTTGGTCATAGCCTTGCGTATTATGAATGCAGTTGTAGTAAAGGAGAAAAGCAATAGGGAGAATGCTGCTATATTGCAGGTAGCTGGCTGGTGGACAAACAGATCAGAAGGCCTGGGCTTTCGGATCACATAGGCCAGGTACCCATCCTGTGCTCCTGAAAAATGGAATTCCTTTAAGCATGGGTTTTCCCTAGAAAATAAGGAGCCGTGGATCTCAGGGTGTTTTGTGTGTGCCTGTTTCTTCATTGCAGGAGATTGAACTCAAGGCCTTTACACTGGGTTACATCCCTGGGCCTTTCTCTTTTCTTTCTTTCTTTCTTTCTTTCTTTCTTTCTTTCTTTCTTTTCTGGAAGGCTGGCTTTCTTTCTTTCTTTCTTTTTTTCTTTCCCTTTTTGAGGCAGAGTTTCACTGTGCAGTTCAGGCTGGCCTTGAAATCACTTTGTAGCGTAGGCTAGCTTTGAACTCACAGTGATCCTCCTGAGTGCTAAGATTACAGGTGTGTGCCATCACACCCGGCTCCAGCCCTTTGTCTTTTGAGACAGGGTCTGGCCAAGTCACTTAATTTATGATCATCTTGCCTCAGCCTCGAGTGATAGGATTACAGGGCTCATCATGTTTGGCTCTTGCATTCATTTCTGGGGGTGGCGGAAGAAAGATCCTTGGGGCCCAGTGTTGTGTTTTGTTGTTATTGTTTTTTAAATTAAACAAGGGGTGGTGGTATATACCTACAGTCCTAGTTATTTGTGAGGCTGAGGCAGGAGAATCACTTGAATCCAGGACCAGGAGTTGAACTTAGGGCCTTGCAGTTTCCAGGCAGTCTCTGTGTCACTGAGATGTATCTCCAGTTCGAATCTAGGAATTCTAAGGCCAGCCTGGGCAAGTAGCAAGACATTATCTCTTCCAAACTAATAAAAAAACAGGCCCAGCCTACCAATTTCTTGCATTTCTGCCTTTTCTTTGCTATACCTCTTCTGTGTAGGCCTCCCAAATCCTTTTCTCTGTGCTCTCCCGTTAAGCATTATCTCTGTAAACGTCTTTTCTGTCCTGCTAGGCCTCAGACCTCGTTCATCTTTCTAAAGCCAGGACCCCACAGTTCAGTCTTGTGTGCATGTAAGGGCCTTGGTGAATGCTTATTTAAGTCATTCATAGACTGCCCAGGTATAGAACACGAGGTCTCTAGCTTAGTATGTAGGTGATAGATGGATGATGGTATCATTCCCAGTAAATACTAGGTATCTGGGTGGACCATAGCTTCTGTATACTCCCTACTGCCTCACTTCACAGTTTTCCTTATTATTGACATCATCTAACATCCCGTGTTTATTACATATGAAAGTTTTATTAAGGAGTCAGTGTGGTTGCATTATTAACAAAAGTCCATGTGCTATTCAGATTCCTCAGTGTCTTGCCCCTGTGATCTTACCCAGAACACATCACGTTTAGAGGTCGCATCTCCTTAGGTTCCTCTTGGCTCTGACAGTATTTCCGATGTTTCACATTTTTTGGTGACAGTGACGGTTTGGGGGCATGCTGGCAATGTTTTACAGGCTGCCTCTTTTTTTAAATTTTAAGTTTTTCTTGGGGTCAGACTGGGTTTAGGCTTATGGGTTGAGGGGAGAAAAGAGTTTTCATCACAGAGTGTTACAGCTGCATACTGCTGTCATGACTGACCACTGCTAACGTTGACCTTGATCGCCTGGCTAAGGGAGTGTTTGTCGGGTTTCATATGGCAAACATAGTTCTTTTGCTCCCCTTCCATACTGTGTTCTTTGGAAACAAGTCAGTATACGCAGCCCAGGAGTTAGAGGTGGAAAGTAATGTTCCTCCTCCTTCAAGGTCTAGTATCTCTGATGCCTGAATTTTTCTGCTCTGGAGGTTTGTTTGTTTCTTCTTATGATTTATTTTATACTTTGAATATAATTCCATATTATCTTATTGCTCAAATTGTTCAAAGCTTTGGCCATGGTATATTAAATACTTTTTTATTGGTAAGAAGCTGATTTGAAGCTAAGCAAGAATAAATCATGCTTAATGGCAATGTTTCTCCCAAAATAAGGTTTAAATACTGTGTTCTGTTTCATGAAAGTTGTTTATCACCTGTGCCTATCCAAAATGCATCTAAAGAAATAAAAATTACCCAAATGTTAGCAATGGATTACCAGTTAAGCTGTTTCTTTTATTGTCTCAGCAAGGACATTTTTAAATGAAACTGGCTCTGTTTTTCCTTAATTAGGAGTGAATGTTGGTGAAGAACACGAGTATTAGAGCAATTTGCCTAAATTTATGATAAGGTAGTAGCAGATTTTTTGTGTGCATTTTTTTTCTTTTCTCATTTCTTTTTTTTTCAGTGCTAGAGTTGGAGCCAAGTGTCTTACACATGCTAGACAAGCACTCTACCACATCCTCAGGCCCCTAGAGCAGATTTAACTACCACTGTTTTTTTTCTCTATCAC